TGTGGGTGAGCTTGCAAAGGGGTGAGGCAGGAAAGAATTTCAGTGCAGAATTTAATCCACCTTTTCATCCTTCGGATTGGGAAATATCGGCTTCTTTTGTTTTTCATAGGAGGTAAACTCTGTTCCTTGCTAACCCTGGTTTTTGATTGGAAGATGTAACAAAACTTACTCTTTTTTTTGGCAGCTGCTATCATTCTTTAGCATTATTGCTTTTCTGGAATATTGTGGTCTTTCCTAACTAGAACATAACTAGTCACAGTATAGAGGATTTCTTACATTTTGTTTTTGCTATTTATTTCTCAGCAAGTTAAATGTTTTCTCATTACTTAGATGACCAGAGATTTTTAGGTCCCTCAGAAGTTATTCTGAAAACAGCTGACCACAAGGCCTTTTAGAGAAGGACTGATGTGTCAGATCACACTTCCAACAACCAGTGAAAACATCCTGTTCCCCAGAAAACTTACTGATCATCAAAAGTTACTGACTGAACAACTAATCCATATCCATTTCTAATGAGTGGAAAAAGTCTATAGTCTATAGATATCAGGCATGACTTTAGGAATAATAAAAAGTTATTTGTGCAAATATTTAATCAGAGGGGTTTCTTAAATGGATCTAGCCAAAAGGACAAAATAAGTTTGTAGTTATCTTTGGGAAAGAAAGGGATACTGTCAGTTAAGAAAAACCCTGTCCAGCAACTGGAAAAGGTTATTCCTTCTACTCTGTAATTTCCAATCCAGTGTCACAGGAGAGTCAGAGATGCTAAGCAGGGAAGTGGTACACATGGACAGAGAGGGAAGGATGTATCCTATCCAGATGGATAAAACTGAGGGTCACAGCTAGCATTCACTTCTCCCAAACTTTTAAAAACCACCTTGCAGGTGCCAAGCTCACTGGGCCTACCCCACATCATTCTGCCATGTGGGGACAGTCAGGGCACTGCAGGCTGGCAGCATGACACTTCAAAGAATTTGAGAGATGGGTGTCACTTGTGAATAATCTGCCCCTAAGAGGTCTCAAAAAGAAACTGAGCCTTTGATTTCAGAGTCTGTAATAGCTACAGTCTGAGAGAGAGATTTTCAGCCAGTATTGGGCAGGATTTTTTAGTAAACATGTCTGGAAATCATAAGCATATGTGACACTTCCATGTTTCATAAATGCTATGGAAAGGTTAGAAATAACTTGCTGACAATACTCTGGGCATAACTGAACTTGTCCATTACATAATAAAACACCACTTCTGCCTGAAATAGGCGGTATTTAATAGGCCACAACCTGTTCTATTCAGGAAGTTACTAATGTGTGACAGCAAAACAGAAATCTTCACAGAAATCTTCAGCTGTGACAGCAAGACACAGCCATTTCGAGCATGCCTGTGGCTCAGAAGTGTCACTTGAACTCTTCCAACAAAGCAAAGCCGAAACTACAGGTTTTGGGTGGGTTTTTTTTCAAGAATTGAAAACCAACCCTCTACTTTCACCAAATCTTCACTTGAACAGCTCCAGAACTGCAGTAGGTATTAACACTGCCCAAGCTTTCTACTGAGGTCCTGCAGTTTGCCAAAATACCCAGACAGTGCTTTGGCAAAAGGTTTGCTTCAATTCATTTCCTAGCACAGTTTCTTTTCTAGAGCCTCAGGGAGGGCATAATTCAAAAGAAGCACCGATTAAGCAGGCTGAACTGCACAACACAAAGCTTCCATTCAAAAAGGCTGCTGTTTTTCAACCTGAGTTGCCAACACTATTTATCTCACTGCTCTGATCAGAATCCCATATTAAAGCATGAATTATAGCTAAATCCTGATATACAGCAAAGACTGCTCAGATAAACAGCACAGCAAACTAGAATTTCTTATACTCATTCTTGTCATGTATGAGCCCTACAAGGAAAGCAAAAAGCAGCACAAAGTGTAATGCCACAGTTTGCCCATACTATTCCTTTTAGTTATTTCCAGATGCAGGGAGGGCCCCAAGATGGCTGTAGAGTAACAGCCCTGGCTGTAACCTGGCAGCTGTTGCCAGCTTTTCCTGCTGTGGATGCCTTCCTAAATTCTTTCATAACATTTCCTGCAGACATAGCATAGTTTCACTTTAACTGACCTGCAAGTAAGAGGCAATTTCCTACCTCTCCCCTCAGAAGTCTTCAATTAAAATTCAGAATGGTTCTGCTATAGCTAATAAATGGCTTAGCAGCAGCAGGATTACAGAACAACCACCTCTATGACCCAAGTTCCAGAAAAAAATATATAAAGTTACGCAAAGAAAATAAATTGCCAGTCAGACTGCTCTAACTGATCCAAGCAGAGCACATTCCCTGTAGAAAACTGTGTCAAGGAAAGGCGTGTGTAGTTATCACACCACAGTGGATACAGACTGTGCTGTCTTGGCTTAACTCCAAATAATACTGAATACTTATGAAGAATCCAAAAATCTCATGCAAACTGGCAAACCAACTTCATATAACAGTTTGCAATTTTTTACATTCTACCTTATGACTGAGAAAGGCATCAACCCTCTGAAATGAAGAATGGGACATAAAGGGTAAGCAGATATGAAAGAACCTATTCATCTATGTACAAGTCACAAGAAACAGGGAGTATGTAATGATATTGTCCCACAAGAGTTTCTATTTGAAGAGACTCAATAAAGTAGGTGCTGCTGTTTCATCTTCTATTAAAAGACTAGGTTTGGCTTGCAGCATTTGGTTTGATTTTAAATCAATGCATCTGATTTACTATAGAAGGAACTAAGAATCCAGTAATGAGATTCCAGTAAAAGCAAATTAAGTATGAGAAAAAAGAAAATCTCAGTTTGCACCAGTCAGTACAGCTGCAGTGCCTATAGTGGAGCTATGATAACACACCCCAACCCACTCACTCCCAGAGGATTCCCTCCTCACCAAGATCCCAGCTTGCTTCTGTTTATATCAACAGTTGTATCACAGTGTATCAAACCCGATTTTCTTTAAAGACATTTTATCCCTATCACATAGTGTTTAAACAAAATTCAGAAGCAGAAGCTATACTATTTCCTAGTTATGAAGCAAAACATTTCAGACCAAATAAAAGTTACTCCTTTTTCTCCTTCCCATTGTCTAAAGCTTTTTTCTCTCATTGTACTAGGATACATCGCAGATCTTTTTCTATTAACTGCTTTCAAGATTTTTTGAGTTCACTGTTTTAAGTTTTGTACAGTTTCAGAATTTTTGTGGTTTTGTCTTTTTTCTAAAGGCAAAAAAAATTACAATTTCTCTTTAATGCCATTGTTAGTGACACGTTGGAAGAACTCTAGTTGAAGTAGATTCCCAGTTTGTTTTTACCAGGCTCAATTTCTAAGGATATTTTAAGATAGTGCTGTAAATAAAAGACATGCTGGAAATATGCAAATATACTGAAATCCCATGGCAGTATGGTGAGGGAAAGGGTGGTAGAATATTGTTTTGCTCTGTACAACAGTATCTCAACATTATCAATATTTAATTCTCAAGCAACTTAGGTTATTAGAAATCACTACCTAAATGTGCTAGAAATTAGTTTCTGTAACACACATTCAAAATGCACATGTAATGAAATAATTGAAAGCTTTATATAACAATAAATTACAATGAAGCAGCTATGACAACCAGTCCGTCCAGCACAGCACAGCAAAAACAAAAACACTAAGCCAAGCATCAATGTTCACAAAAATCCTTTTTCCCAGTTATTTTATATAATCTTTTCATACGTTGGGGATGACTATAAAGAAACAGCAGCAACACATATCTATTTAACTACATTTATGAATTTCTCACTTCTTTTCCATAGACAAAAGTCAACCGGTGATGATCAGGACTAGAAAACTCATCTTAAGATAATCTATGGTAGACATCAATTAAAACCCTGGCAAAGCCTTGTGACCTTCCCACAGAAGTTTCTGTTCTCTGAACAACTCCTTCTTGGTTATTTACAGTCTACAAAGACTGGAGTTTTGGTCCATGATTAGAAAAATGCTGGCAAACACATGAGCCAGAAAGGATGCCTGAGTACAAATTCATGCTTGGGGTGACAAGGAATGACTTAGTCAGATGGGTATGTACATTTTGAGTTTCTTCCAGAGGAGATACAAAACACAGTAATAACATCCCACCCTCATACTGTTTTTACCATAATTAATTTTAAGATTCAATTCATTACTATATGATTGAACATGGAATGTGAACTAGATGAGCTCTCATGGTTCCTTGCTGTTCAATGTCTTTTGCTAATTAAAAATAACAGACTGTGCAACACACCACTTTTATTCCTTTTATCATCCATTTAGTATACATGAGAACAAACATGTTGGTGCACAACCCAGTTAAAAAAAACACGATTCTAAAGGACTGTTTTATTGAGTATAATTTATCTTTAAATGCTGATGGGAACACAGCAAGAAATAGAGCAGGAAAAAAATTCAAGAACTACAACATTGAAAAATATTGCGTTACTTTGTTCAGTGTTATGAATGTTACTTGCACAGCACACTTTACTATCAGAGGTCTAATTCCACCTTCTAACTGCAGAACAAGTTTGACTTAACACAGAACAAAATGTAGGCCGATGACTTGGGACCAGAATGGGCACCTTTTGGCTACTCAATCTAGATACTGGTCACTGCAGTCATTTAATTTCATTAATAAACTTACCCCGGTTTGTCTTTAAATTTGATTGATTTTTTTGTGAAAAGCAATTACTAAATCCATACCAAAAAAAGCTGCAGTTTTGTCATTTAAAGCCAAAGCCTATGTATTCCATAAGCCAGTGTCCTCCCCAGCCGTAAGTTTACTTTTCCCTCTAGAACATGATGATGCAGCAATGCTGAACTGTCTCTCAAAATCAAAGTAGTCCAGGCAGTTTGTTAAAGTACAGTGACATTGTTTCAAAGATCTTAATGGAGGAATAGCTGGCACACAACAGTCAGCTCAAGGAAAACAATGCAATAACTCTTATGAAAATGAATAAAAAAGAGAAAGTGTTTACATACCTATACTTAACAGCTGTGAATAGATCTGTAGTTTTCCAAGAGTGTTTCAGTGACAAGTTTCCTGACACAGCTCAGATGTCTCGAATACCATAGTCATGCAAAAAGAGCCATTTCTCATCTACAGGTAGTATCAGCAGAGAAAGAAAACAAAACCAAAACAGTGTAGTTCAGACTAGTAGCTCTAACATTTGCACGGATGTAGGAAGCTGCCAGCCCCACACAAGCACCCTCCCCACCTAATTACATTCAGCTGCTTGTCATGTGGTCTTGCTGACCGATCAAGTGATCTCTTTTCCTCCTTTTAAAACCAAGCAACATAGCTAACTAGATCTCCCTAAACCAGGTAATACACATTGAACTTCTGCACAAACTACTGACCTTCCTCTTTCTTGTTGTAAGGAGAGGAAGTTGCAGTGTGTAATTGCAACTTTTTCTAAGTTTTCTATAAAAAAAATTAAGTAAAATACAGCAAACACAGTAGTCTACTATAATGAAACACAGTGAACACTGAAAGTTCCCCAAACTGGTTTTTTATCAGCCTGGTTTTATTTTACACCTTTACAGATAGCAGGAAAATTAGTGATAACAAAATTGGCATGGGCACCAGAGTGAGACCACGTGAGAGGGAGCTGGAAGGATTTGAGAGGGCAGTGGCAGCAGGACTACAGGGCTTTGTAGGCCTCCATGTCCAGTCCTTTCTGCTGAACCACTTTGGATGGCAACAAGTTCCAACTAAGGACCAGAGCGATGATGTTGCCAGAAACTTTCTGGACCGCTGCAGCTAAACAGGCAAGCTCCTGTCCCTGCACAACCCTAAGAGACACATGCAGACGTTTTAAACATTTAAATAACTTTAAGAAAATAAAGTTATTGGTTTACATGTAAACCAATTCTTTCTCAACAGCAAGTCTGTTAACACAGGCCCCCAACAGGCAGGACTCACACATCTGGCCCCTTTACAACACTGGGGTCTGCACCAAAGCTGGATGAGGGGCCCTGTGCTGGGTCCAAGGGATGAGAGAGGACCTGCACAGCCACCTGCAGTCACCACAAGGCCTCGTCCCCCCTCACAGACACCCTGGACACTACAGGCACTCACAGCAGAGGATTGAAAGGTGCAAACAAAGCGAGTTTTGCACTCACCATGTAAGATTTAGCAGACAAGCCTGTACAGATGAGTCACCTTGCACAGCCCTTTCTCGTCTCAGTTTCTTTTCTCACGGTGCTTCAAGAGCAGCAAAGTAAGGAAATCAGGAAGGTTTCTAAGACTACTCTCCAGTCTTATAATTTAAGAAGTGCCACAGACAGCCTGCTACATTTAACATATCCTTAATGCATTCATCTACCAGTAACAAAGATAACTCCACAAGCTCCTTCATTCACTTGTTTCAATGCTCAACTATCTCGCCTCCTTTCATGTGAATCAAAGCAATTTTTTCTTGTCTTTTCCCTGGTGAACATCTCAGTTCTGTCACACAGAGCTGGAACACTTTTTCATGCCCTGCCTTAGTATTTTTCCAGAATTAACTAAAATCGATTTCTTTGACATTTAGTTAGAGGTTGTAATTTTAAGTCTAACCATCCTAAGTCACCAGTTTTAGAAGAACATAGAAGTGCCTTTTCTTGCCTCCACATGCAGTAAGAAAAAAAAAATTGTGTTCAATTTTCAGCAACGTGCATATTTTTAAGCTTTAACTGCTTCCCTGATCAATACCAGCACATTTGCTTAACTGTGAAGAAATATTCAGACCACAAGCACCCTAGAATTTCTGCTAACTGCTCCAGAGTGCAGAAGGAGGAACAGGATAAGAAGTGTTGACAGACAAAGCAATAACTCTTCTGCCATGTTGCAAACAGCCCTGGGGGGTGACTACATATACTGTCTGTCTGGAAGTCTCAACCAGCAATGTAAATGCAGTTCAAACTCTTCCCCATGGAAAGATTTTTGCCATCTTTAATGGGAAAGCAGTTTATAAATCATAATTCATATAGTTCATAATCCCCGGATTTCAGATTTTTAAGGATGAAATGAGGCTGTTCAACTTTCCTCTTACCAACTTGGTGTAAAGAATATCAACTAATTTTCCCTTTCCCCTTCCAAGCAAGGGCTTTTTCCAAAACAGTAAAACTATGCTAGAAAGGTACAGCTGAAATAAATCTTCTCTTTTGAGGGTGAAGTTACACTGATTTGAAACTACAGAGTTACTACCAAAACACAGGGCCTCAGTTTATAACCTGGGAGGACATGAGTGCTGGGTTACATATAGTCTCTGTTTTCAAACTAACACTTTTGCAGCTTCTCAGCAAATGCTGCGGGAGCAGCTGAGCCAACCCTGCAGTGGTGGCAGGAAGCACACACAAACCTACAGCAGCTGGAACAGGAACCACTGCAGCCAGCCCAAGGTGAGCCTTCCTCTCACTGCTCCCCGAACCTTAGGGGGGTTAGAAGACCTTGGACATCTTCTTCATTTATGCTAGGGATCAAAATTACACCAGTAAAGTCCTGAAACTGTGAAATGTATTTTGAAGCCGCAGCTCTACAAAGGAACAGCCACCTATTTAGTTATTAAATCTTCCCAACGGTTTTACAAGCAAGTTTTATGAACAGGTTGTATGAACAAGGTGATCTGAATGCATGGAATTTATGGTCTACTTGTAAAAATTTTCTATGCTATACAAGCCTAGGAATTTAGGAGGAAATTTGAGCAGTTAAACACAATGAACAGTGTGGAGTATTCTTCGTTACAAGCATCAGAATATTTGCCTTCATACATTCCATGCTCTTGAGAAAAACTGCAGGTGTCCAAACTATCCTGTAGCAGGTGTTTCCTCTAGAAAATGCTGGATCGTTACCTATCTGCAGAAATTAAGAGATCTGCCACTGGAGAAAGAAATAGGGGTAGAATTGGATCTATTAATAGCCTATTTCAAATAATACTACAGAACACATCTGTTTTCAAAGCCAAAAGCTGTGCCTAACATCAATGCCAAGTGCCTCTGCTCTCCTCACTCCCCAGTTACCCAACTCTGGTGGAGGTCTCCTCTTCAGCACTCTGACCACGTAATGTTTTTTTCCAACACACACTAAAAACTCACTGTGCTTTTACCAATATCCATAGTTTTCACATGTGCATTCTTTAGATGAGCTGCAAGTCTACGGAATGAAAACCAATCAAAAGGCAGCAAAGGGTAATTTTATTTGTTGGCATCCACAAATCTGATCTGTGCCACAAACCCTCTATTGGCAATCAAAGAGGAAACCTTAAAAATGCAAGAGGGGGGGAAAAACAGCCACTGGGACACACATATGACAGCACACTTCAAGAACAGCCAGAGCACAGAAAAATACCCTACAAAATACAAAAAGAAGCAATGAGAAAAAAAGTAAATAGGAAAAATATGAATGTATTAATTGGTACAGGAAGACTCCTACAACTGTAAAACAGAATTATAGTTGTTCCCTTGAAGTTTGCTACGTACTGCTACAGGAGTCTATAAATACAGTAACAAGTCCATACCTCAAGACCTGAAAGACTAAAAAGATCCTAAAGGAGGAGACAAAATCCTCTACATGGAATTTTTCTTATGCTTTCCCCTCACCAATATCCTTCCAGGAAAAAAAAAAGAATGAAAAGACAACCCACACTCAGAAGATCAACTTTCACACCAGAATTGTAATAGCTGATCTTTGCTAGAACCAAATCATGAAATATCCCTTCAGTGATTAAAATGAAAGGTCAGACAGGCCTTTCTGCTACCCGAAAGGCACATCTGCTAAATATTTAGTAACACTATAGATTAAAATAAAGCTTCCATGTTTTGTTCTTTCAGCTGTAAGCCAATCTAGTAAGGCAATTTCTAGTAATGGTGACAGAGCTTTCTTTTAGCATTTCAAGAGATAAAGCATTGGTCCATAAGACGCTAAAGCACCAATAAATGGTGAAAAAAAGCTTATTTAAAATGTGCATGAACAAACATGATTATTCATTCTGACTGAAATGAACAAATTTGATCCTTTTGCATGTAGGAAACGACATCTTGGCAACATTCACACTATTTAAATTACATAATCTGTACTAAAAAGAGGAGTATTTAACCTAAAGATGGATGAATTACTAGACATGCTACAGCTCCTCTGTGAGATTCACATCAGTTCACATTTCGTAAGATTTGTGAAGTGGGTGCCTGACTGCATGAAGACAACACCTAGAACAGCACTGCCTGCTGTTTGGGTAAGAAGCTGTAAAAACATGCTAATAATCTGATGTCTCTATCTTCACTCTGAAGAGCTACAGATCTCATTTTAGATCAGTGATCTTTATCTACTTAAAAGGGTTGATGACTAAGTGTATTTTTTTAATTAGAAAACATAGGAGCTTTACAGGAAGCTGCTCTACCAATTTAAAGGAACAAGTGCACTACAACTTCCTTAGAAATGATTTTCACTGCTTTACACTCCTGTAATAAATACAGTTTTGAAAGTTTCTTTCATATTTTTATTCATGCTTAAGCCTAATTGATATGTGTTTTTTCTTGGCATTATCTGATCCAACATGTCACTGCCAATTGAAAGACACTGCTTTTTAAAACTCATCTCAGCAGAGCAGGGTTTTCTTTCCAGTACAAGAAGACCCTGTTCACATCTTTTGTAAATCTACTTATTAGGGCAAGTGGTCCTTCCTTCTCCTCATAAGTTGACAACAGTGGTTTTTTACCACTACAAATTTGGAGGAGGAAAAATGGAAAGGCTTGTTATGTGCACTATGTGACAGACAGAGAAGTCTGCTGCTTCTGAGCTACAGCAAAGTATTGCTTTTCTCTATATTATTGTTTGATCTTCCATGCAATGAAGCACATGAAACTTAACTAAACACCTGTGATACATATTTTTCTCTACCATTTCTTAAATCATGAGCATCATCAACATTAGATCTCTTTCATTTTCCCATTTATATAGTGCCTCCCTGGGTGAACTAACCTGACTGGTTGATCTGCCTTCCTTCAGGGTGTGCAGGAGGAATGGGTGGGCTTGTAGATGTGGTGATTCTGGAGTACATTACCAAAGTAGGTCTTTGAGTCCCACTGGCCCTGTTCCTGTCCCTGTGTGATTCCCAATTA